CTGCTGAAACGCGATGATTTTTGTTTCGTCCTGACCTGTTACAAAAGTGGTACTTTTCTGCCTGACAGTTACTGGGTCTGTTTTCTCTCTCTTCTCATCCTACTAATCATTTTGCACTTTAGGTTTCATGTTTTTATTCTTTTTTTCCAATACCTCAGGCTTTTGTTTGACTATTGGAGGAATGTAAAGCCTGCACCATGTTAGATGCTGAGTGGAGTGGGACAACTTAACTTGGAGGAGTTCCTTGCTACTTCTTTGCGTTGGTTTGCATCCTTTTTCTTTATGGGCCTTCAAAGTAATCTCTGACCCTTGTTTGCTCTTGTTAACCTGTACAGTCAGGCACTGTTTCCAGCTGGGGACTAACTAATGCCAAATTAGTGAATGCCTTCCGTCCCTTCAGGTTCACTGGACTTACTGGCACTTTCAGTGCGATAGGGCCCCCAGTTTGCATTTGTAATAAAAACGATGAGATCCCCTCCTGTTTTGTTTCGAAAGCTTTGCCCAGCTCTCAAGTTTACCCCGTAGGGGTAAATGAGGTCTGGGAGTACAGCGTGCTGCCATCGGAACTCTGTGCGCGTAGGCGTGACTAGGTGAATCAGGAGAAGACTTGTGTCGATGAGTGTGTGTGTCGGCCGTGAGCGGTGTGGTGATGAGCTCTGGGTACCAGGCTAGCAACACACAGGTCGGGCCAGCATAGATGCCAGTTTTGCAGCTGGGAGAAGCAAGGAGAGAAGACGTGGAGCAAATACATTTAAAATGATCATTTCCGTACTGAGTACTAGTATTAGTATGCCTTTAGGTAATGGCGTGTTGTTGCCTATTCAGCAATATTTTGGATTGTGAACCTGGCTACCTAGGGAACTGAGGTACATTTAAGGTGGTGTCTGCGTGCCAGTCCTTCCTGGGGAACTTCTGAACCCATTGGTAAATTCAAAGTGGCTTTAATAATGATTTCAAAGACACTGAGTTACCTGACACAAAATGTGCACACCTCAGGGCAACAGGCAGCTGGCAGAGAGGTGGGACCCAGGTTTGTGCTTTAGTGAGGAAGAACCTGAAGCTGGAACCTTCTGGCCGGTAAAGAATGCAGCTGATTATTCTCCTCTGCTGCCGGACTGGGAAGGGGCAGGAGAGAGACAGACTGAGAATGCCTCAGCCTCAAGAAGAGCTGTGATCAGATCTGACACTTTATTAGATGGGGGTTAATCCAGTCACGAGATGCAAAACTATGAAGTGGAAGCAGAGGATGGGGCTTCAGGAGCTGGGCTTCCTGCAGCCCCACTCGTTAGCCATGAGGGCTGTGTCAGAGCAGTGCTTACCAGGCTCCCACCCGCATCCCGTGCTTCCAGGAGATCCTTTACTCTGCTGCTGCTGCGGTACCAGCAATCTCTGTAGCTGTGCCAGCCTAACCCTCTGAGTGATCAGTACTTTTCTGATTGATACTTGTTTTGGTTTTTTTTTTTTAATTATTTTAAGTAAAGGAGAAGGCTGTAGGGAGTTTCCTCTTTTTGTTAAGTCCTGGTTTCAGATCTCCTTTTACTTTCAAGTTCTTCTGTAATAGCATATTGCAGAGTGGCGGAGGCTACAGGGTTTTTTGTCACTTCTCCAAAGGCTTTACATTTAGATTCATCATTCATTTTTAAAGAAAATGTATTTAGAATAGATCTGTGTCCATCACTGTCCTGTTCGGGAAGTTCACAGCAGCTTGCCCCTTTGGTTACCCCAGAGGGGATGTGCACACCCACTCTGCCTGCGATAAAGAGGGTCTCCACTAGTTGTTGCACAATATAACGCCTGTTTCAGGGGCTCGATAGAATTGTACATGGTCCTGCTGTATGTGGTGGGTGCATATATACTCATCGTCACCTGCAGGTCTGTCTGACGGAGGCCGGTGGTATGAATCAGCTAGTCTGTGTCTACATTTATTGGTAAAAGACAATATGAAGACTTCTAATTGAGAATCCACCCCCCTTAGTTCTTTGGTGATTGTAAATACTCCAAAATGCATAACAATGAGAGCAGACAGCAGAGTCCAGACCTGTTATGCACGTGATGCGTCCTTTTTAAAGTATACTGGGATATACTGGAACTAAAGATAACAGAAGATTGATTTTAAACAAATAAAAGAAAGTACTTTTTTACACAGCAAGAGTGAGCTTCAGGAATTAGTGATTAGAGGAGGTGCTGGAGGCAGCATCAAGAGGTTCAAAAAGGGGTGAGAGAAATTCCAGGACATCAGGTCCATAAACGGGTACCAAAAACCAGACAGGGGTTTTCCCTCTGATATCACTGATCCATGAAACATCCATTCCTGTTTTAAAGAACTCCAGTGGTGTAAAACTAGCATCACAGCAGCCTCTCGCATTGGTTGTGTGTTGTTGCAGAGGAGGACTGTAAGAAGTACTTACAAAGGAAGCAGGAGCAGGCCGACCAGCCGCTTCAAGTGCCAGCAGTGGACAGCAGCGTGCCGAAGACGTCAGAACTGATGGGCATCACCACCAGGGACGATCCGTACGGTAAGCGCCTGTCATTACATTGCTGCCTGATGCCTCATGTTGGGATTGCCTTCAGCTGTAGCAGGTCCCCATGAGAAGTGCAGGAAACCTGTTTGCTTTCATTACACCTCGTGATTTTTCCTAGCCTAGGCCAGAGTGCTTTAGCTGGTAGTCTGCAGGCATTGTCATTTTCCCTATTCCCTAGGACAGAGAGGAAAAGCAATCCTAGGGAATGCCGTACCCAGAGCTGGCACAGAGCCCACTGGACGGGCACGGGAGGAGACTTCCCAGAAACGTGTCCCTTAGCACAGCCTGGCACAGAGCAACCGCTGCTGAAAGCACAGTGGGTTGGAGTAACGGGGGAAGGACGTCAGAGCTGATTGCCTTGGCTACGCTGCCCTGTCTTCAGCAGATGTAACCACCTTGAATAAAAAGGAAGCAGGGTTTGAAGTATGGCTGGGCATGAAGAGGGGGGAGAGAGGAAACGCAGCGTGTGTGTGTGTGCGCGCGCTGGGCTGCGCCTGCAGCTCTGCCTGTGCAGCTGCCTGCTGGGCTGCGTGCGCAGTCATCGGCGTTCGTAAGTGCGCCGGGCTGCGCGCATAGCCGCGTGCGTGCGCGCCAGGCTGCATGAGCAGCTGTGGGCTGAGGACGCGGGCGTCCTGTAAAGCTTTGCGACAGACGAAGCAGCAGCTGAGGCTGAACGGAGAAATGTCGGCTTGCCTCTTCAGGTGATCCTCTGGCTAGGCCAGGTGGCCACCTTTGCTGTACGTGGGGACATCGTTAACCATCCTCTGGCTAGTCCAGGTGGCCACCTTTGCTGTACGTGGGGACATCGTTAACCAACGTGTACATGGCAGCTTTGCCTGATGTGACCCCAGAGTTAGCTGTGTGCCCCTAAAGCAGCCCCCTCAGTTTGATTGACCTGCCAGACAGTTACCCTTCTGCTTGACTGGATGCTTCTTGGGCTGCATCTGCCTGCCGGGTTGATACTTTTCTCAGCAGCTTTTAGAGCCTGACCTATTTTTTCACTGTGGTAGGCTTCAACTGGCATGAAAACTTGAAAATATGTGTAGTGACATTGATATGGAAAAAAAATAACACAGTGGAAAACTATCCAGCAGTATTAAGGCACTTAATTACAAGAAACACTGCCCTTAAAGCATAGCACTTGAATATTTGGGTGAGTGCTAAATAACGAGAGCTGCCAGCCATTAACATCTGCAGAAAACAGGGCCATTTATTTAGGGTGTGACTTCAGGCACCCAAGTTTGACACCTTAGCCATAAAAATCGGTTTCCAAATTTCAGGGCCTACCTCGTAGCTCAGTAGATGGTGGATGTCAGGACGTTGCTGGATGAAGGACCTTCGGGAAGGTTTTGGTTGGGAAGTTTGAATCTCCGTGACCTGAACTAGAGAACTAGGACCCAGAGCCACAAGGATATTTTAGATTTGTAACTCCCAGTGAAATCCCAGAGCATCGGGGCTCTGAGTTGCACCCTCTGGGGTACTCTGCCCCCTCCAATTCTTCCCAGACTCTCTCTCCTGCCTCTGCTGTGGCTGGATGTTATTGCCGCTGCAGATTTTGCGTATCTGTGTCTCGGCTACCCTTCCCTAACCACTGCCAGCGAATGTGGGTTTATGCGAGTAGCCTGGACTGGAACAAAGCGGGAAAGGCACAGACGTGTGTTACCTCTTGCCAGCCCTGTTACAGACAGGAGCCTGGGCTGAAGGGTGGCTGGGCTGGTAAAATGTTAAATTACCTTTGCAAGTTTGTCCAGAGCCTGTCTGTCAAAGCTCTTGATTCTGAGTCAAAGTCTGTGGGAGCTAATGACAGTTCACTACTGGAGTTAACTTCATTTGTAGTAGAAGATGACAGCTAAATTTTTAATGGTTTCAGGGAACGGAACAGAGATGTTTGATGCCTTCATCTGCTACTGTCAGAAAGACCTTCAGTTTGTCCAGGAGATGATCAGGGAGCTGGAACAAACAGAGTTCAAACTGAAGCTCTGTGTATTTGATCGGGATGTCTTGCCAGGAACATGTGTGTGGTCCATCAGTGGAGAACTTATAGAAAGGAGGTAAGTGGACCATGGCTGCTTGGGACAGCTGAGTGTTATGGAACATTACGTTCACGTTACCATGATGTCTGCAGTGTGGTGCCAGTGAAGCCGTAAAAATCCACAAGGATGTCTTTATGGGGTTTGATTTACGCTCTTGGCTCCAGAAGGAAGGCATTCCCAAACATGTCAGTTCATTGTACTCACAAGGAAGATGCCACTATGGTGATGCTGCTTATGTTTGAACCCTTTTCTTTGGCTGGAATGTCCTGCAGTCGCCTGCTTGGAGGTGATTTGGAAATGAATACAGCTCCAGGCTGAGTTAGCTCCACCCCGCAGCGTGGAGTTTGAGGGGACAGCACTGCTGTTGGCTCTAGCCACTGACTTCAAGGATCCTTCAGACCTATGTGGGCCTCGGGCATGGTAGGAGCTGTGGGGCATAAAAGCAACTCCCCAGATAGGGAGTGGAGAATCCCAAGGCAGGTGTTTGGGTTTTAAACATCAGCCTTTTGGAGGGAGGTAGCTTGGCATTAACAGAGACCCTCATAAGGCCTCACTGTCCTGGCTGTTTTGAAGTGTAACCTTTTGTGAAGAGCCTAACGTGTAGTTTACAACCAGGCACCTCGAATGTAAGGAACAAATTGGAGAATAAAGCTGAAATTCATGAAATCAGGTGAATTCACAGTGATATGAGTACAATAGAGCTCTGTCTAGTTCATTCTAATATTAGAAAGTACCGGTTATGCTCAGTCAATAAAGGCAGCATGAAAAAAGAAAATTAAGATGGCATTATTTGTAGTATATACACAGAGGATCAAATAAAGATGGCACAGACAATCTGGACTTTGCTATTTCTTCATTTTTAGTATAAGAGCCTGTATCTGTAACCAGGTTTTTGTGTGTAAGGTC